GGAAAAATCCCCCCCCCCCCCCCCCCGCCAAATCCCTTAAATTCCTCAAAAAAGAAGAAACAAAACCCACATGATAATACGAACAATATTGTAGACCCACCATACTAAGCTCTTTTACACTCTGAGATCTTAACTGATTAGTATACAAATAGACATTCCATACTCATAAGACTGCATGAAACACAGCCTCTAAATTTGTATAATAATTGCTACTATGTAATAAAGTTTAATTTTTATCTAAAGCTTCTAAAATGTTTCAAGTCCACTGTAATTATTGGGAACAGCAAAGGGACTCAAGTGTCAGATCCAATATCAACAATTAACTTTTTAAAGTCAATTTCATTGGGAACTTTCCAAAATTATACGCTAAGAAAACACAGGAGAACTCCCTGGAACATTTAGTGAAGGTAAAAAAACATGCCAATTAAGTGCTAATTTTGATTAACAATAGCTCATTTAAAAAATACTTTTGACAAAAAACTGTATTTAATTGTAAGCACAGGACACCTCCTGGTTTTAAAGGAAAGCTGAACATTTGGTAGAAAAATTTCACAGACTGTTAGATATTTTATGTAAATATCATAAATAAGAAAGAGATTATTAAATGAGTATAAATCTATAGCTTTTAGAAATAGATGTGAAAAAAGGTGACAAACTCATTTAGCAGCTAAGGAGAAGGACTCAAGGTGGCATATGGTGGAAATTCTCTTTTTTTCATTCACATATTTCTGAATGAACTAGAAGTATGATTTATCTGTAGTTTCTGAAATGCATTCATCAGACTATATTCCAGGAACATAAACTTTTTCAAATAAGAACATAAACAACTTTTTAACATTACCTGATTTATTACCATGGCAATGAGTTCAATTTAAGAACTCAAGTATAATGAAACAGTCACATGATACGAACCCTAGCAACATGTACATTTATGCCAATCTCACCCAACGCAACCCAGTTAACACTGGTAGGACACCACAAGAAAATGTGAGGATCATGAAGAAAGCAGACAAGAAGGGTATCTATTAGCATGGCATGCCAGCAAGGAGTACTGCTCATATTGTTAGCAATATAAGGAAAACCTTATCAAGCTATTATCAATAGACTGCACTATATAAGCACAGTAAGGGACCATTCTACCCCACAAAGTAACTGAAATCAGAAGCAGAATCATTGACTATTTCATTCAAGGAAAAATACTATTTGAACAGTAAAAAATTTGATTTTTTTTTTTTTTAAACTTCAACTTGTCCCCACCACCAAGGGGATTTATAGAAGTATATTTGATATACTTGTTTCTAATTTTATTATCTTACTATTTTTCAAAAATGTCTCACCTTGCTATCCATTCTTGACGCAGCTTTTGTCGCTCAGTAAGAACCAGCAAGAAGCAGCTGAGAGTTTCATTCCTTTGTTCCTCAATTTGTTCCTCTTTTCCAACTTCAGAGAGGACGAGGCTTGTCTTAAAGGGAAAAACCACATAAAAATTATAATCTAGAAATAGGAAACAATGTGTAAAATTAATAAAAAGCCCATAAGCAAATAAGGACAGTAAATCAATAGCTTTTTTTATTACAGTTCCACTGCTGACAAATCAATACAGTAAATGATGGTTAGAAATGGCCACTATATATTTGGTATTTAATCAATATACATGGCACATAAGGTAAACCTTAAAATCTCATTGCCTTAAGTAACACAGCAAGACATTGTGCATTCTAGCTCTCATTTTCTTGAGACATAATTCTTTTCTAAATATTTTCTTGTATCAAATCATATCAGAAATATTTCCCTCAATACAGCATTTGTTTGGGGCATTTCCCCTTTCCCTTTGATCATTGGTGAAGCTAAAGAAGAAAATACCTGTTTGCATTGTATCTTCTGAAAGGAATTTTTGATGATGTCCCTATGTTCTCTTTATCATGAAATATTTCAAGTAAACAAGTAGTAAAACTCCACCTTTTTTCATTTGTGGAATAAATTAAAAATTCCTAAAAAATATATATATAAATATATATACACACACACAATGGATTTAAATAATCTGTGGAGTAGGATGACACTCAGCCTCTGCAGACCAAAAGTTACTGACCTTCCCAAATGTTGTGTCGACAGTTAATGTTGATGTAACGAAACTGCAGATCATCTTATTGTGCTTCATCCACCCAGCAAGCTAACTCTAACTCCCTCACTCCACCTTTGCCTTCAACTACTAACTCACCCACCATTTTCTCCTTTTCTTTCCCCTACGCTTCACCATGTCTGCCAACCTGGGAAAGAAATGGCATGCGCTGATGCTCACATTACCAACTCGTATGTCAACCAGTGCAGACATCCTGACTTGATGTGCAGCAGCCCAACCACAACAGAGATCTAGAGTCAATGCTGCAGTCTTTTCCTTCAGTGAAGATGTAATATTTGCCTTTCTCACCTTAACCCACCACTGACATTCACTTAATTATTTTTGCTATTCTAACCTTCAGTCACATGTTCTGCAGATGTATCAAAGTACCTAAACGCTTTTGGGAAGGATGACTGAATGGACAGAATGCTTGCACAAACGTAGTTTTTTCACAGAAAAGGAGGCAAAAAATATATTTCTAACCTGAGCAGTTGTGGAAGTGAGTTTCAAAACACAACTCAAACATCACCAAGAGCTGCAATTCCTATTCCCAGCATGGCCTCTCTTATAGGAACAACATGACAAAAAGACATGGCATATCGCCTCCTCCTCAACATTACATACACATTACCTTCTGCCGTGCCCAAATATACATCCACTAAAATTCCTCTGGGGATTCTGTGAGATAAATGATTGTTACTATCTTCAGTCTGTGAAAACAGGAAGATTGATCCTTGGTCTGACAGGGTTTTTTTTCCACAAGAAAGAATAATATGCAGATTATACACTTCTTAAGCTATATAAAGTAGCAGTAACATTGCTACCGCCATGATGGTTCCAAGAGACAAGCATGACAGGGTTCATAGAGGCAGAAAATAATTTCTACACCAACATCAGATGACAAAGAGCAAAAAGCATCTTCCTCGCCACGTCCCAGCTCTATCAGTTGGCCTATCAAAAGGCATTACCCCATTATATGGGACTTCAAAAAGAACATTTTCTTGTAAAAACCCCAAATGTTCAAAACTCTGTCTATACAGATCACATTCTTGACCCTGCTTTGACATTACAAAGCAAACAAAAAGCCAGAGCGCATTTTCAGATAAGGATTCCCTGACATGGGTTTCCCTTGCACTGACCTACATCTTTTCCACAAGCTCTAATATCCACCAACTTCAACAATCCTGATCTTGCAGCCTTACTTCCAGCAGCTGCACAGTTTAAAGCAGAATTTGATAGAGGACTTCAGCATGTGAGAACATGCTCATATGAGATGAAGAGATGTACATTCTTTAACTGATGTAAATTAACACTCCTTGTCATTCAGAATAAATGTACCTATTAAGGCTTTAACTTTTATATTTACCATGTGCAGGACTTGACACAGCACTATAACTAAAGCTTATGTCTGTGTTATAGGATGATCAGACTGTAGCCTTACAGCTAGGTCACAGTACACCAAGATTTCCCTTTCAGAATTGTTGGATGGCCTTATTAACCACAGTGGGATAGGGAAAACCACTGGTGATGGGTATAGAAGTCTACTTCTCTCCGAGGCTGCAGAAAAGCCCCAGGTTTAATGATGCTATGCCTCACAAAGCTGCAAGTATAATTATTTGCAGGCAACAAACATCAAGAACCCCTAAATAAGTGATTCTCAAAGCGTAGAGCATGGGGAACTGATAGTTCCTAAAGAATTTTCAGTTAAAATGTGATAAAAGGATGATGCGATTAGAGTATTATCAGTCAGAGAAGATGGGTGACCACTTCTCCAAGTATTCACAGTCACATAATGCTTTCTTTTCTGATGGCCTGGCCAAACTGCAACTTTGGTACTGAGTTCCACTACCTAAAGTCCCCTGGAAATGGAACATAATTTAATTTTTACTGAGAGAACAATTATATTGCTCCAGCCTTCTGTTAACACCTTTCATTTATGTGGTGATGTACACAGTTCAAGTCAAACTCATAGTTTGACACTGACATCATAAACGCTTCTTTACTGAGCCCTGTGAGTACAGTTGCAGCTACCTGGAGGGTGAAATAGTACTATTAAGCAACATATAACAACAATACATAGCAATTTAACTGATTTACTTGTTTTCTAAGAGTGCTGAGGGCAGTAAGGTTACCTGGAACGTGAGTGCAGGACTTGATACGTAGCTTTTATAGAGGCATTTCTTAATAACTTGCTATTCTTATCATCGCAATAAAAATCCCAAATTGTAACAAATAAAGCAGCATTCTGGGTAAAATAATATTATAAAAAACATTCCTTTGAAAGTTTTCTTTTCCATGTAACTTGTTTTGGGATTTATTTTTAACAAGGGGATTCAACATATACCTTGACTGATAAAGGTCAAGGGTTCAAGAAACTTGGTCAAAGATGTTATCAGCTGGGAAAGCCATTTCCTCACATCGACACTGATAAAAATCCATCAGAAACCCAACTGATACCACCCCTGCTCTAAAGGGCAGGAATGACCTTCTTTTGAACATCACTATAGTTGCGCATCCCATCAAAGAAAATCTGATCTTGTGTCTCAATTCTTTTAATGTTCTTTAATGGCAGATAATTGTCTGCAGAGGCCCCCTTTGTCCAATGCTGAGTGAAGCCTTCACATTTCTGAACTGGACTCAACACTGACTCGATGTTTTTCAGCACACTTCGGACTGCAGGACAGTAGAATAAACAAACAATGTAACCAGCCCTACAGCCTGTCTTCTCTCATCCTTGTGTTCACAGAGATTCTTGAGGGTGGCAATGTTTACAAATTGTTGAAACTTTCTTTCATCTGCTTCCTGAGCTGGCAAAAACATACCCTAGACAACCTAAGCAACAAGATTACCCAAATTGCTTATCACTTGAGGGAAGCAACTTCTTGCCTCGTTGGTCAGCATGTCTCTTTAATAAGTAGTACTGTTAATATTTTCAGCAAATTTCCCCCAATTCTCCTTACAGGTCTATTAATGTGTTTAGGGCATTTCCTTGTAAATACCAAATGGCATGGTCTTAAAAACAAACACACGACCCACCTCTCAAAACAGCCAAGCTATATACGCGCATCTATCTATCTATCGATCTATATATAGACAGCTCAATCAGTTGCCAATCCAGCCTTCTATGTTTAAGATAGTATTTAGGAAATTATACCCTTTACCTTCCTCCTGTAGTAGAGCAGCAGAACTAAATCTAGTGCTCTACTGTCGTATCAGGCAACAGCCATCAGAGCACCCAGGATACGCACTCAAGATTAGATAACTTTTATGAGTCTTAACAAAGCTAACCTAGGTATTGTAACAGAATTATAATAGTATTTTTTTTTCTTAGACATACAGCAGAAGAAACTATGTTTCAACCTCAATCAGTCACTACCATGCTTAACTATATGTACCCTGCGTGAATAACAGAAGATGCTTACAAACAAGCGGGGGGGGGGGGGGGGGGAGAGACATACTCAAAAACC